TACCTACCTACCTACCTACCTACCTACCTACCTACCTACCTACCTACCTACCTACCTACCTACCTACCTACCTACCTTCATTCCTTCTTTCCTTACTTCCTTCCTTCTCAGTTCCTTCTTTCCTTCCCTTCTTCCTTCCTTGCTTTTTTTGCTTTCTTGCTTCCTTGCTTCATTCATTCATTCWTTCATTCATTCGTTCCTTCTTTCCTTCATTCCTTAGTTCGTTCGTTCCTTCGCTCGTTCATCCATTTCTTTATTAGATAGTTTATTCATTCATTTTTTCATAGGTTAATAGTTTCCTGACCTTGTTGCAATTTTAATTCCATCCGTAACTCTAATTCCCTCTTGCACATCACTCCAAGTCTTTCCCTCGTCCCTAGTATACTGAATGGTGAGACCTGGCACTAGAACATTCGTATGTAGCTGGTCAGACACCAGTCTATAGAAAAAAGAATCTATCACATTGGGAAGCACTGCTGGGCCCGATTGCACGAAGCTTGACGAAGAGTTGATAGCACTATCCAACGGATAATATCCTTATCCAGTGGATAAGTCGATGTTGTTATCCAATAGGTTTATCCACTGGATAAGATTTATCCGTTGGATAGCGCTATCCAGGCTTCGTACAACCGGGCCCTGTTTCGCCGCCTCTTACCAATGCGGCCTACTCCTCATTCTAACCATCTCTCATGATTGTAAATTGCATAAACAGCAATCTTTCATTCATAAATCCCTATATAAATCATTAGACCCTGGTTCGAGTCCCGCGGGGCGCGGGGTCGTATGTGAGTAGAAGTTTTTTTCTCGGTTCTCTGGTTTTCCTCCCTCCTCCAAAACCCAACTTCTAAATTCTAATTAGATCTTTGGGCTTTCATCTAGTTAGAGACTAGCTCTGTAGTGATTGTCCCACGCTGTGATACAACAGTCAAAACTTAATATATTTCCATTTTTTTGATCATCAACCATTACAACATAGAGCTGTTATCGTAGGCGTGAGAAACGATTCGTAGCTGTACTGTATCTTAACCTAGCCGTAACTACACGTGGGAATATGCTAGCTCACAGACTCCAGTATAGGAGATGGATGCTCCTAGTAATAGGCTCCTGATCTGGGAATATGCAAGCTCACAGACCCAGTATGGGAGATGGATGCCCCTAGTAATGGGCTCCTGATCTGGGAATATGCTGGCTCACAGACCCTGTATGGGAGATGGATGCTACTAGTAATGGGCTCCTGATCTGGTAATATACCTTAGTGTCTTACCTTGCACCAGGTGGTGGAATACGATATGCCACGTTCAATTTATCCAACCGTCCGAGTTCCTTGTAACCCAGAGTATTAACAAAAAATTCCCAGTCTCTTGTCTTCATTCTCTCGCGTCTGACGTCATCCTGAATATTTTCCCAGTCTGCTTTATGCCAGGCCCTCTCAGCCAAGGCAAGTGATCGAGGAAAAAGCATAGAGTCTAGTTCTTCAGACGTTCGTATTGTCTCTGTCCACAGGGCACCCGACATACCTGGAAAGCGATGGAATAATAAGCCATGAGTCGATAGAGCTTTTCACTTATTTAGAACCATATGTCATTCCCTTAATTAAATATTATCATTTCTAGTTTCTATAGCTTCAAAAGTAGACCATTAGATTTTTGAGGGGGGGGGGGTAGGCAATTTATTTTGTGAAGGAAATTTTTTGGACATAATATGGAATTTTTTCCAAATTTTTAGGAAGGAATGCAAGTAAGTTCTAATAGTTTGAGATTTTTTTGGAACCATTTTATTGGAAACAGGTGAGCCCGCCATTTTACCCAAGACTGTTGATTTAATTGTTTTTCAGCCCTGTTGCTTTTTTAATCATCAAGTCAGAAGGACGGACCACAGGTATCACATGAAACCCCAAACTTCGTGTCAGGTTAATTTCTCTGTTCCCTGCTAGCAGAACCTATTTTCCTTTTATTTTGGAGGAGTGAAAAAATAGACTCTGCCGATGTAGGACCTTATACTTGTCGCGCCTGCGTGGCGTAACTTAGCAACGCCGTCATGATTTTGACAGCCGCTCTCGTCAAACAACGTTTGGCGCCATAGTACGTGTGTTACATTTTCTCATGCGCAATACATGCACCCTCTTAAAAACCGGTTTTAAAACTGGTTTCGTTCGTCCACCATCGTGGACGGCGGTGTATCAAAGGAAACGCTCTACATCGGCAGAGTCTCCCTCCTTCCCGCCTAAAAGAAGCGAGAGAAAGAGGAGAGACTCTGCTAGCAGGGAAATTTCTCTGATAAAATTTCAACTTAATTTTTCTTACCTACGATATTTTCTGGTTTATATAGTTGCTCACATTTCCCTTCATAGATAGTTTCACACACGTTTGTTATTTTCTCCCCGTTTTGCTTAAAGTCAGCGTTAGCGTACAAGTTATCAGGCATGAAGCCAAACGTCTTTCTTGTATCAGTAAAGCGAGGTGCCCAGTAGTACCCACGCTCCTCTGGGTCAGGTTCGTACGGGTGGTCAAAGAAGAGATGTGTGGCCTGGGTCATAACTACCTTTAAATCGGAAAAAAAACATGTTCACGATTAAATTTAGATGGATTTTTTTAATGCTTCAAAAGATAAGAAACATGCATGATGGTATTTCACTACAGTCAACTCTTGCAATTTCGACCTATATGGACAAGTGCTAAACCTCTGCCATTAACACTCAGGGTCTTAAAATAACTGAGGAGAAAGTGCTGCCTTTGTAATTACATGTGCAAATGGTTAGACTCTTTCGAGTGGTTTGGATGACCACTTTAAATGGCGGTCCTGCATTAGAAAATACGTGACGATTCCCGATGTGGGATCGCGTTACGTGTCACACATTCTTACCTTGTATCCAGTGTTAGCTGGCTTATAGGGTCGTGTGACTTTTTCCATTCCCATACATTATCCCATGTATTAGCAGACACGTGACTATTCTCAAGGTAGGATAGCGTTACGTGTCACACATTCTTACCTTGTATCCAGCGTTAGCTAGTTTATAGGGTCGTGTGGCTTTGTTCCATTCCCATACATTATCCCATGTATTAGCAAACACATTCCTATTCATCACCAATGACCTCTTGTAGGGTTGTTCGTCGGCTCCAAGAAGACCATCTTCCCAAGCAGCCAAGTCTAGCCCGTGCGTCTTAGTGATATTAGAAACGCGTTGTACAAAGTATCCCATGAGGTGTTTTACTGCTGATGGATCTGTCAAACTGATTCCAAGCTCTTTAGCCAAGTCCTTACATGATGGCGACCCCGTCCAAGCGCCTTTGGGAACTTCATCTCCTCCGAAATGGAATATCTGAAGTGGTTGTATCCCAGAATGCAATGCTTTTATCGCTTTAACAAGAGTCTCGATGAACTCATACGTAGAGTTGACGCACGGGCTGATGGCATTGTCTTTAAAGAGCTGCGCTGACAGGTATTTTGATTGATCGTTTGGATCTGATAGGAGGTACTTCTTGGCTTCATCGTATTGGCCAAGCTTCGTCAAGTTCTCCATACGGGCATTCATGGATTTGATAGCCGCGTGTGCATGTCCAGGCATGTCAAACTCGGGAATAATTTGCACGTGTCTGTCTTCAGCGTACTGTAGAATATCTCGATAATCATTTGTGGTGAAGAATCCAGATCCTGTGTTGCCAGTGAAGGCGCCTGATCCGAGCTGAGATGCAATACACGTTTTTTCTGTTGGATCGTGACAGCGTCTTCCTCCAACCTAAAAAGCCAGTAATGAGATAATCAATACCTGATAAACCTGTTTGAAACCGGTCATACAGGTCTGCACAAATTAAAGGACGGAAAAAAGCATAAAGGTTTTGTTTCATAACGTCCACACGCCAGTAATACAGCTTGGACTGCCTGTGGTTAGATGCCAGGACAATAAAATCCCTTTGCTCTCGGGAATTGAATTCTTTCTCATGTAAAACGATTGTATTGTTCCTGCCATCTAACAAGGCTGCCGTCACGTGATGGTGCAAAACATCTATAGAAGCAAGCCAGTAAAGACGCGGACACGGCGCGGACACACGCTACGACATTGCAATGAAGATTTGTATGAAAACATATGATACGGATGTGGCATGCCGTGACGTAGCGTGACGTGACCGTGTATGCAATTAAGCATTTTCATTGGATGAATAGTGACCACATGCGCTGCGATTGGTTCAAAGGATATTGACAATTTTGTATATAGCGTGTTAGGTACCGAGCGGTGAGGTTTTTCAGTGACGCTCTACTCTTATATAGAAAGAGAGCGAAATTTACCACAAATTTCCAAAAGTCATCATGAAAAACGATTTGACTGATACATGTCATTTGTCACGCATTACCCCCTCCTTTAATTCAAGGGGTTTTCAAATATATATTTTATATATTTTCAAATCAGATATTCATTGTGTGACCAAATGCGCGACTGAGTTGTGTGATGCGTGACATTTACTATCAAGAAAGTGCGTGACTACGTTCCCACTGAATCTGGATGTAACAACATTTGATGGGGGGAAAACATCAACAAAAACAAGCTTAAATCTCACATTATAAGCTTCTATGAAACAAAATTTCAAGGTAAGTTTTCTTGATCCATATATTTTTAACCAGAGCTAAATTTCGCTAAATATTTCAACCATTTCATTGAGGACAATCACGTCCTTTAAGTTTGTTTTGAACTTTAAAATTTCAGTCACTCTTTTGTAGCAATTTAAGAAAAGCCCAAAGCTCATTTAAACGAAATAGTTCTTAAGACTAAAAAGACAAAAATATATCTGCAATTAATGTCAAAATTAGAGATATAGAGATAAATACGTAGAAAAGTAGAAAACCCAAAGCCTTGGATAATTTAAAAAAATCTAATTTGAACTGCTTCGGAATTTATTTTGAAATTTACAGTTAAGTTTTACGTTTATAATGTCCTGAAAGGCAAAAAGACATCAATCCTTACTTAATAATGTATAATAATTGAAGATAAATGCGAAGTTGATGCTTTTTACGACATTATTTTAGAGGAAGTTTGCTAGAAGTTTTCAAAATGGCCGCCGTTAGAGAGCAAGATGGCGGGAAACGGTCACGTGATCTTTTATAATTTTTTTGTTTTGTTTCGTTTTGTTGTTGTTGTCGTTGTTATAATAATCTTTTTGTTTTTATGAAGTGTTTTCAAAATTATTCCTTTAGTTTAGTCGGTTTATCATATAAGCCATGCATTCTTTTTATTTCTACTCCTTGAATGTGATTAATTTATTTTTTTGCATACTCGGCAAAATTTCCCATCGTTTGGCGGGTATTCGAAGAATTTCCTTCGATTCCGCGTTCCTTCCTTCAATTCTTCATCACCTATAGAGCTAGATCTTAATAGCCCATAGCACAAGAATATTACTTACACTAAGAGGTCCTCAGTTACTTTATGCATAACGTTTTTCATGTTAATATTGTTATTATATTAAATTGTTCTTCATGCCTTTGATTATTGCTTTCTTTAAAACTTGAGAAAATACATTGACAGGAAGTGAGAGGTCGACTTATTTCATTGATTGATACCAAGCAATAGAATACTCTCTGGTTRATAGCACATGACGGGCAGTGTTTGCCTGTCATTGTAGGCTGGTAATGAGATGAATGAGATTCATTCAGCTGATTGATATGAATCAATAGGTAATAATGCATCTCAAAGGAAGATTTTCAAGCAAAATGGTTAAACATAAGAGAGGGCGTATCCAGGATTTGTAATTGGGGGGAAGGGGGTGGGGGGGTCCTTACATACCGAGTTGTCACTATGACGTTATATGACGTCATAGCAATTTATTGTTTTGACGAAAAAGAATCGTGGTCGATAGAGGGGAACAGAACAACGTACACGGCTATAATTGAAACAAAAAGCGTTCTGTAGAACGAAGCAATAAAAGATATGTTAATTAGTCACCAACACATATCATAGATTTTTTTGGCTTTGAAAGCGGGGGTCACGGGCACCCTGTGACCCCCCCCCCCCCCTGGTTACGCCCCTGCATAATACCCAAAGTAAAGGCTAAATATATAAATGATATTTACCTTAGTAAGTTCCGGTAATCCAGGTATTTCCAGCCTCCATCCTTCGTCATCTGTCAAGTGTAGATGTAGTTTATTCATCTTATACATTGCCATCACATTGATTAGCTTAAAAATATTTTCTTTATCAAAGAAATTCCTTGCCACATCAATATGCATTCCTCTGAACTCATATCTTGGGGCATCAACGATATGAATATGCGGCACCCTCCCCTCCCTAGTTATACTCAGTAGTGACTGCACCCCCCAGAAAACACCTGAGGCCGTCACCCCTAATATTGTAATGATCGACTTTCCAGCGTCGACGTTCAGTTCATAAGCTTCCTGATTGGACGAAAAGTTCCCGCCAAGTTTGACGTCATCAAGTTTGAGCTGGATAAGACGGAACACTCGGTGACTGCCTTGAGTCGTTACTTCATTGATGCCGAGTTTACCTGGCGATAAAAATAGGTGAGTAATCAAACCTTGTTCAATCTAGTGTGTAGCCATTGAAGCGGTTTGAATAAAATACGAGAATCATGAATTATTTGGGGTTTAGGCCAATTTATGGTTACAGCAGGTCGTACCGACTTCGTTATGTAAAGTCAGTACCGTATGTTTCCCACTCATACGATAATCATTCTTATTGGAAGCCATTTCAATGTTACGGCATGTCGTACCGTGTACGTACTGTAAGTCAGTACTGTATGTTTCCCACTCATACGATAACCATTCTTATGGGAAGCCATTTCAATGTTACGGCATGTCGTACCGTGTACGTGCTGTAAGTCAGTATCATATGTTTCCCACTCATACGATAACCATTCTTATGGGAAACCATTTCAATGTTACAGCATGTCGTACCGTGTACGTACTGTAAGTCAGTACCGTACGTTTCCCTCTCATACAATAGCCATTCTTATGGGAAGCCATTTCAATTATGGATATGTGCCGGGTATTAGTCTTTCTTACCTGCCAAGAATCTTGCTTCTTTTTCAAGCTCGATTGGCGCCACAATAATCCAGTCTCCTGTCCTCACATCTGCGGTACGAGATACGTTGTATCTCGATATATTTAACGGTGTCGGCAGTACAACATTCCCCGGTCGCCCCATATCCGATACCCCGGACATCTCGTACCTTTGTTCAGAGGTATAGGGGTTATACTTATCACTGGGATATCGTTTCCATTTCCTTGGTGTATCAAATAGACCAACAAAGCCTAACCCCTCCCCTGCTGTGCTGGTAATGGTACGAGCTTCCAGTCCCTCCGCCGCGATGTACCAGTTCGGCATGACGTCAGTCCTAGAAACGCACCAAAACGAAGCGTTGAACTGAATTCGAATCGAGTTTTTTACATCAAGGTCTTTAAAGTCTTCAGTTGGGCTGAATTTGAAAAGGCACCCATTGATATGCGTAACTTTGAAACCATGATCTCCTGGTATGCGGTATCCACTCGGAGCATGCGCAGTATGTTCCTCCTCGATCATCCTTATATGGCAGAAGTATAGTCCCCAGTCTCCCTTCGGTATGACGTCTCGTCCTTTGTTTGTCAAGGTTATTTGAGCTCGGTATGTTTTGGGGTTATCGTTCAAGGTTGTCTGAAGGTTGTCTAGAACATCGTACCTCACAGCCAGGCTAGATACAACTCTATTCAATAAGTACTGATCCAGTCTTACGAGGCTTGAGTATTTAGCTGGGCCTGTGGAGTTTAAAGAGTATTTAAAGCGCATGCTTGTTTTTTTTTAAAGGAGCGAAGCTATCATATCGAGAAACTTTGGGAACGAGTTGGGAGAAATCTTGGGTTCCCGCGGGATTCGCGAAATAGGCAAGTTGCAGGAAGTAATCGCATGACTGTTTAATAGATTGACTGATGGCAAAAAACTTCCTTAAATTTATGAATAACTTTTGCTGGAGTACTAATGTTATACCCTGAAACTTTTTCAAATATACTTTTCTTTCTGTTATAAGATACTTTTTATTTCAAGATACGAGACATTTTAATTAAGTTTGTTTGTTATCCAGCAGAAAAAATAAACGAAGCTTTGTTATAATAATGACGTAAATTGACATTCACGGTTCACACCAAGGCAAGTTTTCTCAAGGTTGCGTGCGCATCGAAATTTAAGGAACTTGACGGCCGACACGAGTAAAAACGTCTGCGCATGCTCTGAATCCGTATTCAAATTAGTCAAAACATATGTAAATTTGATTTTCAAACATCCCTAATAAATTGGACTTCACAAAATGCCGAAACTTAATGTCCATGCTTGAAACTTAAGGCTAATTCTTTCATATTGTGTTTGTTAATACAGTATCTTGGTCCCACAAAAGTATACTCTTGAACTTTTTTGTATACCTGAAGAAAACAAACATTTATTTTCTCACTCAAACTCTTCAAAATTCTTAGAAAACGTGCTGAAATCCACGCATGCGCAAACGTTTTTCTCTAGTGTCTGACGGGCCACGATACCAGAACACGAATATTATCATGCATTTCTATGAATTTTTTTCTAATAAGAATTCATAAAATCGATTATTCTCCTCTTTAAATATAAAACTGGCTTCTCAATTTTACTGAATTTGCGTTTTTCATTTTTGTGGCCCCCGTCAAGTTAGATGCGCACGCAACCTTAAGAAAACGGTCTAGTTGACAAGAGATGAATCAAAATTGAATAAACAGTTCCACAACTGAGGAAATGTTTTCAAATATTGTGTGGTCGTCATTCCAGCATCTTTGTTTTGTTTTGCCCTCCTCCCCCCCCCCCTCCCCTCCCCCAGGGGGACCCATAATGCCTTGCGATTCAAGATGGTCGCCAAATCGTCGAAGTGGTCCATACCGAGATGCACTTTCAGTGCCAAATATCCTTCGATTGCACGTTACATCAACGCGGCAATGTTGGTGCCATTTAACAAAAGATTTCTCATTAGCATCCATTGTTAACGGCACCACAATGGCCGCCATGTTTTTGTCTTTTGACTCTCTTGGGAATACTTGCAACCAATTAATTGTTATACCAACAATATATATTAACAAGCATTCAAAAGTCAGTGTGTTCAGTCTCATAGATAAATGGTCCAAATCAACGTAACAACCGGATAAAGCTCGTATAAAGCTAAAGGAATTAAAATACTAAGTCAGTTTAACTTGTCAATGTTTGTATAATCAAGCGTTATCATATGATTATCCATAAAATACCTATATATCTCCTTTTCGAAAAACTGATATTTTCACATGTGAAAATAACAGGTTATTTTCACATGTGAAAATATCGTTACCAAGTGTATTTAAGCTATTAGTTTATAATAATAAAAGCTTGTTAAGTTGATTTTATGGATGATTATATAATAAACAGAATATTACATGGGCGCTTGGAGATACGAAATTTACCTTCTCGTTTTGAAAATCGCTGCGCTCACTCGTGAGAGATCTTTTCAACACTCGAAGATAAATTCCGTATCTCCACGCGCCCATGTATCATATCCTCTATGTGTCTAGTTCTAACGCAACATAAAACCATAGTTGAACTATGATAAAACATAGAATTAGAATCTCCTCATAGTGAGACTCTGGAATAATGCATCAAACAGATTAATCTTTCTTGTTCGAATAAGCAAATTATTCATACTTACCTTCGATGACAATCAAGGCAAAAATAGTAACAAACGCAAGAATTTTATCCATGGTTCATAAGCTTCGACTTAACTCAGTTATCATATTTGAAACACAACGGACTGAGATAAATCGAGAAGTTTCGTAGAAATGTCCCTCTTATTTCAAGCTTGAACTTCAGCCTAAAGCGTTCACTAGTCTAAACTGGAAGTCTAGACTATTTTTAAAACAGGTTCTTAGAATCTAGGTGTTGACTGTCAAATGGAATTGAATATAAGATGCGAATGTTTGCTTCTGTAGTTTATTCTTGTTACGTGTTATCATTGTTCCAGATATAAACAGTACAAACTAGATATTACGTTGAATATATTCTTCTTCTCCGTCTATTTTGTTAAGTGAGCAATAAACTCAAGTTTTCTTTTCTTCTAAAGCCTTTAAAGTGCTCAAAAAAATTTCAAAAAAAAAACTATACTTCATTGCTCAATCTAGACAATGTCTCCTAGAAACCCAAATATGTAAGCTAACCAAACATTTTTGCTTGATTCTATTTGTTTATAAGCTGACATTCTGTTGTCAATGTTTAATGTTTGGACGTGTAGAATTCAGCGTCTTAGCCAAGTATTGGACATTTTTCAAGTTAAGTACGTTCATGTCACGTGACTTCTAAAAATAGATGCTCAAGCTCATGAATAATAGCAATAGGGAAAGGAGAGCTTGTGCAACATACTTCCTACAGGTTGCTATCAATAGACGTCACTTCCGGTAATAGCTCTTTTTTGATGGCTTGTAGAATCCTGGTGGTTGTTTTGATCTCTTGTTTTCTGGTTTGATGTCGTGAAAATAGGCAAATACAATAGTCTGAGGACTTATTTTGATATGTTTTGACTTAGCATCCGCTAGTTGTCCCCCAGTCAACCGCTTGTTTGCCCCCCAGTCAACTGGGGGTTGTCACGTGATTGATAGTAAGCAATAGTATAGTCTTTATACTTCCTTTGACGTCATCAGTGGATTTAGGAAGACCACCCCTCCCCTCTCCCTTCATTTATTGCTAATGGTGCGGTGTGATATGCGAATGTAAATGATGTGATAAGGTTTATTTTTAGTTTTGTGGGGCTTAAATTTGAATAGTTTGAGTTAGGGTTTTAGATAAACCGTTTGTTGAAAAAACATCCTTATAGCAATTAGAAAAAACCGTTTATAAAGTTAGCGAAAAACGATATGATTTATCACGCTGGCGTCAAATTGAAACGTTACATCGCATGAGATTAGAGCCGTTGAGTACTAATAAGCCATGCCCTGACTTAGATCAGCCCAGAGGTTGTTTCAGGGTTCTATCTGTTAGTTAGCCAAGCCTTGACTTAGATCAGCCTAGAGATTGTTTCAGGGTTCTATCTGTGAGTTAGCCGCGCCCTGACATAGATTAGCACACCGGTGCTCTGACTTAATTCAGTTAAGAGGTTGTTCCCCGGATCTAATCACATCTTATAAATCTTCAAACATCATAACAAACTTTATTCAAGTAATGTTGAATACTACATTTTATGCTCTTTTTAGTTTCGTCCATCAATGCCATGGTGTTACATTTGAAGCTCGATGCGCCTGCTCTGTCGGCGTCTGTCTGCTGACCTGTGAAGCAGAATATTCATTGGTTTTCTTGGGTAAGTCATAACTTTGATTTACATTCATTGGCATTGCAGTGCATTGTGAGACTGTATTAGAGGACGAAATAGACGCCATCTTGGAAATATGTCCCCCAAACAGTCCAACAATGYACTGCAATATCAAGACTCGATCCAGCTTTTCCTCAACCTCGGGACAGCTAATAGACTAATGTCTCTCCATGACACTATATTTATAATGAGGGAGGGGAGGGATAGTACATGATGTAAACCAAGAATATTTCAAATATTACCTGGTAGCGAGCACTACTTTGCCCGTAAGTCTTAGACCGGACGTGACGTCACTCCAAGTGCTGCCGTTATCAGTACTGTACTGTACCACCAGGCCTGGTAAGGCGACGTTTGTCTCCAGGACTCCATTAACAACTCTGTCATGTTCAAGTGAAACGGTAGCAGTTTAGGGATTGGAGACTATTTCGGGGAACTAGAGTTAATTATAGGATTTTTTGGCTGGTGACAGAAGCGCATATTTCAACAAGGATATCTCCCCTACCGTCCCTCGATTGCAATTTTGGACATACTTGTCAGAAGAATTTTTTGTTTTGTTTTTAACCTTCATTGTTTTTGTTGTTGTTTTTCTTTCCTCTTGTCAACCACTTGGTGCGTGGTTACGTGAGCTGTCGAACTTCAAAAGGGTTGTGGTCACGTGTCCTAGACACCAACATGGCTATAGTCACGTGACATGTTAGATACCAGGGACTTTAAGATTTGCAAAATCTGCGACGGCGACGTCAACCGGAAGTGTAAATAACTTCACTTTGGGGTTTCGAGTCTTTAAAATCTGTCTTTCTTATGGATGAGTTGAATTCACTGACAATGTTTTGAATGAAATCTCCAATGAACAGAACCCCAAAGAGAAATTATTTACACTTCCGGTTGACGTCGCCGTCGTCGTAGATTTTGCAAATCTTAAAGTCCCTGACCAACCTTGCCCCAGGCACGGGAATATGGTAGTCAATATTCAACTTATCCAGCCTCATCAGTTCTTTATGCCCCAGACTATTAGCAAACAACTCCCAGTCCAACTTCTGGTGTTGTTTTCTCATGGCTACGTCTTTCTCGCTCTCCCAACAGCCTACGTGCCAGGCCCTCTCGGCCAGAGCTAACAGTCGTGGGTAGATCATGGATTGGAGTTGGGAAGGAGTTCGTACTGTCTCGCTCCACAGGGCACCCGCCATTCCTGGAAAACGATTCAATATCAGTACGAGCACGGTAATAGGACCAAACGTTGGACATTTAGGATTCGAGATCTCCATATCACTGGTAAGTCAATTCTCTACTTTCACATCCCCATAATACTTTGCGTCTTTGGAGGATAACCAGAAGATAAAAACCCACTTATTTCGCTGAAGGCTGATCAGACAATGTTGACAATACCTTGTTTGGTATCCAAAAATAAAATGAAGGAGTAAAAAACAGAAAAAGATAGAAGCTTGAAGAAGTTCAAGGTAAATTTAAAGACCAAAACTCTTGATGATCTGTACACGCAAAAATAACTTGGAATAAACTGATAATCAGTATTGTACAGATAAAAGCAGGTATAGTATAAATTCAATTAAGAAACCTTTCAATTTGGGACAGCTTTTTGATTGGTTACCCCCCAAAGACGCAAGGCATTATGGGGATGTCAAAGTAGAGAATAGCGAAGATAGTTTAAGCTAACCTTGAATACACAATCGCACTCAGTTCGGTCTCAATTGTTTAAGTGACTGTTTTTCCCTAGGGTACACGCCAACGCGTGCCTTAGAACTGATTCATATTCTATTTTTCACTTTACTATTTATACCATGTTTTTAATTTATTTTTTCACTTGATAATGATGTTACGCATTTTCGAAAAGTCGTCGGCGTTTTATATTAGATAGATTGGATTTTGAGAACCAGTTTTCAAGATTTATATATCCCAAATCGCTCCTCATACGTACGTAGTTCCTTTAGTTCCTGCTATCAAGGAAGGCCGACCGGTGCGTAGTTTAACCTCTCCCTCTCGCGTCAATGTTCCGTTGTAAGGAGATTTTTTAGAGCTAGAGGTACTTGAATTGGAGAAAAGTGGTCGGGACTGGCAAGTGTTTGAGATCACTTGTTTTTAATGCGGATCTATTGACTGAGCCAATATCTGAATATTTTAAATTTGCACGGTTTGTTTTGTTATCAAGGATTGTGTCCGATATTATTGTGCACTTTTCTGGACTTTTTCGCTTCTAGCTAGTGGTCCGTTAAACAGTTTAGTTTCAATCTTCATCTATTTAATTTATCGTAAAATTTATCAATTCCTGGATATGTGCTGGTTCGCTTTTAACGAGTAAATAGACATTCCAGGACAATACTCTTCTGTTCTCGGCTTTCGTGCGATGTCACGGACGCCGCCATGTTTCGTGTGACGTCACGGCAGCCGCCATGTTGGCTGAATTCAACAAAATACTTTTCCTTTCGTTATACCAACAAGGCAGCAACGTCTTTTGTTATTTTATTCTCCTGGAGATCATTGCAAACCACTAACTATATCACTTCATGAGGTTTTCTAAATAAAATTGATAATTTTTTATGACCGCCATGTTGGTTGATTTAAGCTAACGATTTTCTATATATTTTTTAAATATGATCCAATATGGCGGCTATCTTTCTTGGTGACGTCACGTCATTCCTTGAGATTGAAAGCAAGACATTTTGACCTATATCATCAAAGATATTTGCTATTTTCGAATAGAAAAATGCAAGTTTCATTCTGATGTTTTGTATTTTTAAATATATACTCAAGTTTCGATTGCTCTGTTGCTCAGGGCTAGCCTCGATTTTGTACGGAATGTTCATGTGTTCCAGTGAAGGTCCGTGGAATTTCAAAGTGTTTGTATATTGATGAAGTTGTGCATTCTTTACTTTACCGTAGGTTTTTCTGAATATTTAGACTCTGATACGAGGCTAACCCTGTGCAAATGAGTCTGTAATCAAGAAACACAGCGGTAATTTGTATCTCGAAAATGGTCCATTTTGTTTGCAATCCAACATGGCGACAATAGTCACGTGATCCGTACTGATTCAACTTACCCGCTACGTTCTCTGGTTTGCTGAGAGGAATGCATTTTCCCTTGTACATGTTATTACACAGGTCAATTATCGGGTCTCCCATTCTCGTGAAGTCAGCGTTAGCGTACAAATCATCGGGCATAAAGCCAAAGGTCTTGCGAGTGTCGATGAAACGTGGTGCCCAGTAGTACCCACGCTCTTCTGGGTCAGGCTCGTACGGGTGGTCGAAGTAGAGATGGGTGGCCTGGGTCATAACGACCTTAAAGCAGTAATATTAGTAATAATGATTTAATCAAGTAAGATTCGTTTTATGAGTTTTACTATTGCAAAGTTTGTAAAGAGTATTAGCTGTTTTTGAGAATTAATATCGCGTTTTGTCTTCACGCTTTCTACATTGAATCTTCTTTATGTATTATCATGCGAAGGATCGTATTTGTGTACTTGTCACGCTCTTTAATATCGTATTCTTTTATTTAAATTTGATAGAATGCATTACTTGTCACGCTTAGTTTCACGCTTTCTTACGCAGCGTTGGCCAATAGAGCGTGTGCAACCATGTGACTCAAAATCCCTTGAGATATGAATAACGATGAAACAGCCGCCATCTTGGTTGATCTAACAAGAGAAGCTAATGAGGAATGCTTTGTTATCGTTAATCAAGATGGCGGCTATGACGTAACATGCACCTGCTCTATTCAATAATATATTATCCCAAGCAAAAGCATTGACGTGACTATTCTCGAGGTAGGATTGCGTTATGCGTCACACATTCTTACCTTGTATCCAGCGTTAGCCAGTTTGTAGGCCCTGTCTCCTTGAAACCATTCCCATACATTATCCCAAGCATAGGCATAGACGTGACGATTCTTGAGGTAGGATCGATCATACGGCGTGTCTTTAACACCTAAAACACCATCTTCCCAGGCTCCAAGATCCAAGCAGTATTTGTGCGCAATATTGGCCACGCGTCGAACGAAGATTTCCTTCAGATCCTTTCGATAATAAGTAGAAATATATTTTCGATCAAGTCTTCATCATTAGATGAGTTAGCTAAAAACTAGTGTGAGCTGCGTCGGTGTTTCTAATGAAACAGTAATGATGAAAAGGTAAATTTTACACCAAACCAGTTTCCCGCCATTTTAATCTAGCTAACCATTCTCTTTCTGACTTCATTTTTTTCGGTCTTTATTTGATTAACGGCAACAATGATTGTCGCAAGACCAAAGAAATACGGCTTATTCACCTATTGGGCACTCTTAGTCCCAACGGGATTAATAAACGCTTTGTTTTTAACTAACCCACTCTTTTGTGTTTTGATTGTTTCTTTCGTTTCCTTACCCACCCACCTTGTTCTCATTGGTTTCTTTTGTCTTATTATCAGTATATAAACACTCCTTTCTACCACCTCTCTCTCTCTTTTATTCCTACGAAGGACTGGCGTCCGAAACGTCAGTAAGTTTTTTCATCTTTTCACGGTGTAAAATTTACATTACCTTTTTATCATTACTGTTTCATCATCATTAGGTCGAATTACAGGGTTTCAATCAGCTGATAAAAGTCTTTGTGTCATGTGCTCCAGAAAGAATTATATGTAAAACTTATGATTCACCTGATAAACATTTTACACGAGACAATAGATGAAGTCAAGTATTCCGTTTTAGAATCACCATATCCACAGTGTGGTTACCTCTTAAGACTCTGGCTAAACAAGGAAACATGCTTCCTCGATGTTTCCAAGTTTATCCAAATGAGAAACATCGCTGCGTGCAATAAATATTGCTTCGAAGACTCAAAAATATTTCTCCTCTGTGGCAGAAACATTTCGAGCTTCCAAGACGCATGGAAACAATGTTTCCCGATGTTTCATCGTTTAGCCACAAAAAAGTCAACATTCTAAACGTTCGTTACTTCGCAACGTTCGCTGATCTTGTCAAAACAAGATGGCGGCCGAGGAGGTGCGCTTGCGCTAACCGATGTTGAGTAAAGTACATGCTTCCAGATGTTTCTTGACAGTTTTGCCAACTTTGAGAACATTTAAAGAAACGTGTTACTGGAAACGTGGTATTTTTTTACGATTTAAGTGTTTCTGGAAACATGTTTTCTACTTTAGCCAAGGCCCAAGCTTTTTGTACCTTTACAATATTTGGGCTTGTGAAGTTGAGACCAAGTTGAGCAGACATCTTAGCGCAAGCCGGGGATTTTGTCCACGCGCCCTTAGCGACCTCATCACCCCCGAAGTGAAAGATCTTGAGGGGTTGAATTCCTAAATGCATGTTTCGTACTTGGAAGACAATGTGTTCAAAGAACTCGTAAGTCGATTCTAAGCACGGGTTGATGGCGTTGTCTGTGAAAAACTGGACTGACAGGTATTTGGAAGTGTCTTGTGCGTCGGATAGAAGATATTGGTTGGCTTTGTACGAATCTCCCATTGCTAGGTACTTCTGGTAACGGGCCTTGAATGAGAAAAATTACGTCATAACATATAATACTACGTCATATGAATAAGTGTAACTAGTTACGTCAAATAAGGGAAATGAATAATGACTTGCATGCAAAAAAACTAATATCAAATAAAACGGTATGAAGTATATTTTCAAAAAATATGTGAACAGTGTAGTAGTATGGTTGCAGTATTTTTGTATGTGGACTTCTCTTTTTCAGAGATACAAACATTTGAAATATCAATATGCAAATGAGATGACGTAAATTCCAGAATGTGTTACATTTTGCAGTGTGATTTACGACAAGTGTTGTGAAGTGAAATAACCCAAAAGTGTACAAAGTCATATATTTCATTTATAAGGATGATTTGCAAATGAAAAAACAGCAGTACTTTCCACAACAGCATTTTTGTATAATAAATTATTCTTGAATTTACGTCATCTCATTTGCATTTTGATATTTCAAATGTTTATATCTCCTAAAAGAAAATTTTACATACAAAAATACTGTAACCATACTACTACACTATTCACATATGAGTGATTTTGAGAGAAAAAAAATTTCCTTGATATAAACTTTAAACTGATTGAAATGCGCGCAAATGTTTTGCGTGACGCGTCACGGTGACCACGGTGACGGCTTACCGCCTCATCTATCGTGTACTAGTTTTTCGTGGGATTCTACCAGCTCACTAGATGTTGACAAGGCCCAATACAGGCCGAAACAGCTGTCCTCGGTTTCTAGTTGACTTGAAATTGTGAAATGCCCATTGGCCCTCTTCTTCAGTCGTTTCATACAAGGCTCGAAATTTACCTATTACACATGTTCTTACAAGACATAAGTAGGTTTTTTGTCATGACTACCTGCATAGCTTTGATAGCAGCGTGACCATGTCCAGGCATGTCGAACTCTGGAATGATCTCCACGTGTCTATCATTAGCATATCGAAGGATTTCTTTGTATGCGTCGACCGTGTAGAAACCAGTCCCTGCGTTACCCGTTCCAGGCCCTGAGCCGAGCTGGGAATCCACGCACTGGGTTTCCTGTGGATCGTGGCATCTCCTGGATCCGATCTAACAGAGAAAAATGAAAGGACCTTGTGAGCAATGTCCACCAACATCTTCATTCATTTTGAGCTGATTCTCACATAGATATTCTCTATTTGATTATTTGACTTTTTACAAGAAACCTAGATTGACGTCATCATTATTTCGTAATTTCTATGCCCCGACTTTGATCAGCCCAGAGGTTGTTTCAGGATTTGGTCGAGAGTTAGCCATGCCCTGACTTAGATCAGCCCAGAGGTTGTTTCAGGGTTCAATCTGTGAGTTAGCCATGCCCTGACTTTGATCAGCCCAGAGGTTGTTCCAGGGTTCTATCTGTGAGTTACCCATGCCCCGACTTAGATCAGCCCAGAGGCTGTTTCGGGGTTCAATCTGTGAGTTAGCAATGCTTAGATCAGCCCAGAGGTTGTTCCAGGGTTCAATCTGTGAGTTAGCCATGCTTTGACTTAGATCAGTCTAGATGATCTTTCAGGGCAAGATAAGAAAATGGGATCAGTCATTGTCCAAGGAAAACGTTAATTTTACCGTAGTTAATTCTGGGAGTCCAGGTATTTCCAGTCTCCATCCTTCATCATCCGTCAAGTGTAGATGTAGTTTGTTCAGTTTGTACATCGCCATGGCGTCTATCGTCTTCAGTATCTCAGACTTCGGCATGAAGTTTCTCCCAAGATCGATCTCCATTCCTCTGTATTCGTATCTTGGGGCGTCACGGATTGAGATCTATAACAGAGAAATAGGATTTAAATTGGAGAGCAGAGCAGAGCAGAGCAGCAAGGAGAGCAGAGCAGCGAGGAGAGAAGAGCAGCGAGGAGAGGAAAAGAGAGGAGAGGAGAGGAGAGGAGGGGAGAGGAGAGCAGAG